TGCACCAAAGACTTTTGTAGCAAGGTCTGAACTCTGAAGAGTCAATAGCACCCTTGGGAAAAGGTATAGTGTACATGTCTGTTAGTGTATGATAAAAAAATTGGGAAATGACAAGAAAGAAAGCATATTGATCCAGGTTTACGGCCACAAACTTCGATTTTCTGGTTGTATATCAAACATGCATGAGATTATAATATAATAACTCATAAAAAAGAGAATGAGAGGTGGGAATGAATCTTTGATAGTATCGTTGGTGTATATGGTTTATACTTTCTATTTAGATGATAACTTTTGTCAGGGGATTAGCATAAAGTTAATTGAAGTTTCGCTCATGAATATTATTGTTAGCATTTTTTAAATTTTTTTTATATTTCTTTATAAATCAAGTGACTTATGACAAATGACACTGAGAATATAATACAGACAAGTTGAACATATCCTACATTAGATGAACTAGGATAAATCACTGTGTCAATTTTTTCTCTCTTTTCTCTTTTCTATTTTCTCGATTTGTGTGTCGATTTTCAACAATCGATATTGATATATTATTTTTCAAATTAAAATATAATCAGGACATAAAAGGAAATAAACAAAAGGTATGGATTCAACTAGTATAAAAAATTTTTGATTTGTGAAAAAAAGAGTATCAAATTCGGTACTCTTGGGGTATTAAAAAATTTCGAGAGGTGGATAGGTAAAAAAGATTTTTTTTTGATACATTGATGCAAATTGAACACATAACTTAATACAAACTATCTAAATCCCTCACCACTAGAACCTATAAAGCACCGACACTTCAAAAATCTTAATATGTCGTGTCCGACACTTTCGGCCACTCTCCAACACTCCAACACGCATTGTAAAGACTCAAAAAAAAATTTAAAGATTGCGTTGCATTGCGTTTTTAATTCCAATTATTAGATTCGTTGGATTACGATTACCATTTTATTGAGTTTAATATAAATATTTAGGATATTTTATGTTTCTTTACAAAATTTATGGGTATTATAAGTTTAACTTCATTTTTTTTTTAAATTATTGAGTATTAAATATAATATACATTACATAAATTAAAAATAATATTTAATATTAAAACGTGTCCTAACGTGTCAAGATCTAACATTTTTTAGAATTAACGGAGTGTTTTGTTATATCGTGTCTCGTGTCCCGTGTCGATATCGGTGTTATATAGACTAAAACTAATGGCTTTTATTTTCTTCTTTTTTGTTACAGAATAAATAAGTTTTTTGATATTGGCTCTGATCCAAACTCAAGAAAGAAATTGAAGGTTAGAAAATTTTTTAAAGGAACAAATTTCTTGCACTTTGAGCACGCAACCTTGTGTCAACTTGTGCTGGAGTCCCTAAGAAATGTTTTTGATGAATTTATCCCTGCATTTCTTAAGTCAATCAACCTTATAACGGTGCATAGCTAACATGATCTCGCTGCGAACAGTGTCCTGATGATCAGTCCAAAAAGGTGTGACTATGCTGGTAAGTGGATACAATATTGACCCCATATAAACTATAAAGCAGTGCCTATTTTTCAAAAAGATAAAAGGATAATGGGACAAAGGAAATATCACACTTTCCATATCAAAATGCATGTTGTCAAATACAGCCTTTGGCAATATTGGAGGCTTGGAGATGATTCTAATTTGCATATCTAACAGAACATGCAAAAAGGCCAAAAAATAGCAATGGAGAAGGAGAAAGTTTTGCCTTTAACATTTCAAGTGCAAATACAGCCGAGTGTCTTTCACTAGCTATATTCTGAACTGCAAGAGGTTAAATATTTAAAATTGAAGATTCTACTAAGCCCATTTTATGTGGCAAAACCTGTTCAATTTCTGTTTCAAACTTACACATGTAGGTTTTTTTATCTGTACTAAGCAAACTTGAAATGCATATCAATTTGCAGGGTCCTCTACCAACTTCAGGAATCTATTATGAACAAGAACATCTTCTGCATACCTATACAGTATCAATTTAGCAAATCCATTAGTGTATTCAAATTTGATATTATCAGATACCAATTTACCAAATCTGATATTATCAGATAACAATAGCTTTTCTGGCAAGGCAATGACAGTCACAGCCATATTTTGCAGGTTTGAAGACCACATAAGGCTCTTTCCCCTTGTATGTGTGTGTCTAAGGTGTGATGCACACTCAAAATCTGTACCTTACCTGTTACTTACATTGTTCTCCAGCTGCTTCTTTATGGCACTCCTTATTCATCATTTTTGGCGGATGTTGGGTGTGTCTAGATCCCTAGACAAAAATATTTATGGTTGTCTTTCATGGTTTTGGCAGAAATAAAGAGGCTAAATTTTTGTGGTAATGTGCAATCTTTGCTACAAAATGTTGTACTTGTTTTATAGCGGAACTCTATAAGGAGGATTCTTTGGCACATCACTTCACTTGGTATAAGATTAGGCAACTGGTGCCTATTTAGTTCAAAGTTCATAACCTTTTTTATGGAGTTTCTCCCAGATATGTTGATGGATTGGAAAGCCGTTAAATTGTTTTCTCTTTTTTCATTTTTCTATTTATTTATTTTTTTAATTTTTTGCTCATTAGCTTGAGAGGATTCCTTATCCTTCCTCTTCATCATAAGAAATTTCTTCTTTTATAAAAAAATAAAAATAAAAACACCAAGTGACATAAATCCATACTTGTTACTCTATACAAAGAGAGTCATGACAATAATTTATCCTTGGAAACAAAGAGTGGATGTAATGTTAAGGCATGCATCTTGGTGTATAATTTTGACAAATGAAAAGCATAACCAATTTCTCACAGTTCAATTCTTTTGTTCTGAGTCTTTTGCTTATTTTTGAATTTTGACCAACCCCTAAGCAATCTCGACGACAAGATTATCCATTAGAAAATTCACGAGTGACTGAGTATTCTACTTAAAAAAAACAACAAAAGACAATGGCAGCATTGATGGATTTGAATGATAACTCTCTAAGCAACAAAAATTCTTAGAATGTCAAAGAAAAAATAAACATGAGCTAACCTTCCATTGTACGACAAATGTTATTTATCGGCAGTCGGTGCAGACTATTAGAGATATAAATATTTTATTTCATTTTATTTTAATTGTGATATTTTAAATTTTTCTATTTTCTTCTTATACTCTTCTATATAAAAGCTGCATGTATACAAATAAATTACCTGATCAACAATATCAATTTTTGTCTCATTTCTCTTTTCATAATTTTAATCGTTGTCTCTCTTTTAACTTCTAACACGGACGAATTAGGCAGCGGATACAGAAGAAGAATAAATAAATAAATAAATAGACCAAACTTCACTGAGACAAAGACAATCGGAGTCCTACTCAAGAGAGAGAGACAAGCCTAAGATGTGTCCCTTTCTTCGGGTAATCAGGCTGCCAAGTGTTTTTCTTTATATATATATCGAAAATTCAATATACCATTCTGGTAGCAAACGAAGCAGAGAGGTGAAAAAATTAATGGAACATGCTATAAAAAATCATCTTCTCCAAAGAACTTTGAAAAATACAGCAGAAACAACAATCATCATTTCCACGTCATGGCTAAAACTAACATGACCTCTCTTCATTTATGCAACAGATTTTCTTTCTAGTCAAAAAGATATTAAGCAGCCAAAAAACAAAATAGTACACTGATTTCATTCTTTTTTAAAGGCCTAGAACAAAACAATTGCAGTACTAGGAGTTCAATTTTCAAATTGATCGGAACCTTAGTCATCGGCCTCAAAGTGCAGCTAAAAACAAATCATTGAAAATTTTCCTTGGGCATTTCAACAGTTTGCTCAACAAGAAGTGAGAAATTAGTTGAATTTCCTCAAGGGGTAAATGAATACAAAAGAGATCCCACATGCAAACACATTCTTGATGGAGATGGGAAAGAGAGAGCAGCTGCCCACAGCATCAGACATACCCTTAACAACAGGACAATACACCCAACGACAAAGGTACACGGCTTTAAAACTAAAGCATAATTGACCTTCAGTTCCAAAATAAAGTGCATGGCAAGCCTTAATTGTGGTCATTTCCCCAAACACATTATGACATTGCAGTATTCTAATTTAGAAAAGTAATTAAATTTCTGCAGGCAAAGTTCTGTTAGATGACAAAAAATTAAATGAAATTGCAGTTCTGTGAGAAGTTCTTAACAGAAAATATGATATTGCAGCATAGGAAAGCAGGAAGGGAGTAATAAAAATCTAAGAGCAAGTGTTGGGAGCACAATCTAGAGCTGTAGCTGGGAGAGACCACAAGCTGGAAGCAGCACCAATGGAATAGAGTGGAACATCATGGACCTGGGAAAAAGACCAAAGAGCTTGGAGGCTAGTTATATGGACACAGTAAGAGGCTGTAACCAAAGAGCTTGGAGGCTAGTTATATGGACACAGTAAGAGGCTGTAGAGTGAAAGGCAGTGAAGCAAAGGCAAGTCTATAACAGTGAAATGGTATTTGGAGCATTCAATTTTTGCCATAAAATTTCCCCAAACAAAGCAGAAGCAACCCATTCTTACTTCTGTTCAAATGCCCGTTTCAGGACAAAATCACAATAAACACAATTAAAAGTGTATTATCCCAAACATGATTAATTTAGTATGAAAACCCATTTGAAGGGACAATCTCCCACGCATATTCAGCCAAATATGCACTAAAATATCTAAATTCTGCTTAAATGTCTAAATAAATAAATAAAATATCTAAATTCTGCACAATTAGCATAGAACATGCTCAACTTCTATGATGTAAGTGGGTAACTTCCTACTTTCTCAAAAAAACGGAGATAATTATCAGTAACCATCAATCGATGTCTGAGGCAATAAATAGGCCCCAAAGAGATTTTTTTTCTCACTGAATGAAGGTGAAGATGGAAATAGCAAGACTAATAGAACATAAACCCAAAAAGCAGCCATAAAGAGTATCAAACTATCACTTACTATAACTTAAATCAAAGCAACCACTTTCAAATAACTTTCAACATGGACTAAACAGGGACATAAGAACGGGGTTAACATTTTATCAAAAGAGAACACTATTATAAACTACCATCGAACTGTAATGAAAATCCAGTTTCCGATATGCCAAAAAAGGTCCGGATGATCCCACAAAAACATCATTACCATAATCTAATACATTCTGGTCTTACAAAATCAATTCAAACCAGGAAAACCACCTGACAGGATAATAACCTCAACAAACCACAGGTTTGCTGTCAAAGGCTTCTCTTGCTTCCAATAAGTCGGGACAAAATCTCTTTGCAAGAATTTCCACCTGCTCGGCAAATGATTTCCTCCCATGCTCTCCAATATATTGGACCATTTGGCTCCATCGTTTTCTACATACATCACCAGACCTATGATCAAGCAGATAGTCCCAGTCTACCTCCTCCATGCAGCAAGCATCCAAAGTAAATAAAGCATTTACTAGGCGGTAGTCATCGGTGTCACTCCATTCACCCTTAGCAACCATTGATGATGTTAATTGCTCATACCATTTTTTGCAGCAACGTGGACTGGTTCTAGTGGTCAATTTGTTGCCAATTGCCTCCCAACTAATATTATCTCGCAACATTCCATGTTTTGATTTTCTATGATCTTCTAAAGCCCTCGCGCGTAGATCCAGGTTTACTAAATCAAATAAATTTTGATACTCCTCTTGGGACCATCGTCCTTTGTTTGTATTGGTTAATTTTATTCTACGCCATGCATCCTTTACATGAAATCGATGTTTACCCAATGCTTCAGCTACTGATTTCCAATCAGATCCATGCTGTTCTTGGACCTTACGAACAAATTCAAGTTCTTCAGGCGTCCACTTACGCTTCTCATCCCTTTCAAACAAAATATGAGCACGATAATACACACTAATGTAAGGCCTCTCAGGTAAGACTGACCCAATATCTTTCCAACAACCTCTAAGTTCAGGATGAGATCTGGAATGGAGAATCATATCTAGACCTTCATCTCCCAAACCATGAGACTCTATATAGTCAAAAACAGCCTCTTTAATCTTCTTATCTTCTTCTGGTGTAAACCTTTTCCCACGCACTAAGTCATCACAACAAAACTCTACTTGATCAGAAAAAGTTACTCGTTTGGGTTTGGATGTTCCACCAGGTACAGGGTTAGGAGATTCACCAGTACCAGCCTTGGTTTTTTTCTTTATCTTCTTCTTGCATTGATCATCAACTTCAGTGACAATGCAACTTGCATTAGCATCTCCTTCATTGGTTTTAAATTCACTGTTCCCTTTACTTTTGCTTTTGTCATTCAGTTTCTTCTTCATTTTCTTGCCTTGGTCATCGTCTTTGCCCTCATTGCTTGTAAACTCGTTATACTCCACATGTTTGCTTTCTTCACTCAGTATCTTCTTTTTTTTCTTCTCCTTCAACTTCTTGTCTTGGTCATCATCTTCACCTTCATGGCTTTTGACCAAATGTTGATCACCTTTTTTGCTGTTGACAAAAGGTGGATCACTGTTGATTTTATACTCTTCATCTTCAGTTCTTTTGTTTTTCTTACCCGATATCTTCTCCATCTTCTTCTTTTTGCCATGCCCCTCTTCACTGACAACAGAATAATCAGCTTCATTGCTTTTATATCCTCTTACTGTCATTTTACTTTTGTTCCCCAGTTTCTTCTTCTTCTTCTCCATCTTCTTACCTAGCAAATCATCTTCGGTGACAAGAGAATGTGCATTAGCATTTCCTTTGTTGATTTTATCCAAAGGAAGATCACCTTTATTATTCTTGAACTCTTTATCCTCTGACATTTTTCCTTTTTTGCTTGATTTTGAAAAACCCATTTCTGCAATTCCAGTTGAATCATCATAACTTTTTCTTTTCTTCATCTTGCTTTGCTGGTTGTCGTCAAAGTACTGCATTTCTTTATCATCAGCAAGATCACTATTCATTACTTTAATATCTTTTCTCCCCTTTATCTTCTTTCTCTTATTGATGTGGCTCTCTTCTTCCCTATCCAACATGAATGTAATATTACCTTCAGTAGAGCAAGTTTGTTTGTCAGCTGCTTCAGCAGTACAATTTTCCTCTAGGGTTTCATTTGAATTGAGTATTTTATCAGTAACGTGCATTTTCTTTCTATCCTTGTGCTTGTTTTTCTTTCCTTCATTTGGCTTCAGCTCAAAACTACTTCCCAAATTGCTTCTGTCAATGTCAGACCTTTCCTTCTTGGCTTTCTCACCCATGAGATTAGTATTATCACAGGTAATACCCCCAACACAAATCTGAAAAGAAAAAAATGAAATACACAACTAGTTATAAATTATGATATCTATTGAGGAAAAACAAAATTAAATTTCAAATAGTCCCTATTATCTTCTCATGTATATCCTGAGCTGGAATAAGAATCAAGACAGTCAATCGATGCAGAATTAGAATAAGAATAGTGCGCCCCCAATTTCCATCCTCCCTTACCCTCAGCTTCTCATGTTCTCTATTTCTCACTCCCTCCAACTTTCTCTTACAATTTCTGCCAATGCTTCACCTATTTATAGGCAATATTCTTCACAAAATACAAAACAAAGGTCTAACAACAACCAATTAAATCTTATTTCATCTTTTACCAATCAATTTCAAGACAGAGACGGCAAATCAGAATATGAATTCACATCAATAACAAACAACAAAAGGGGGGATTTTGACCAATTCAAAGGTTACCTCTTGTTTGATAAACCTAGTGTTTATTGAGAGTTGCTTCTAAACAACCTTCCACACCAGCATAAGCTTCAAGGATCCTACTGATTTTGGTTAAGAATGGGCACACCAAAGCTAGACAAGAAACCCTAGAAATCAGATGGTAAGAGGACTCACCTTACGATACTTAGCATGCAATGGGTCCTCTTAAATCCCCTTAAAGCTCACGAAAATGAAGAGGGTGGATTTCAGCAAGGGATAGAGCAAAAATCTTAAGGAGAAGGTTGTTATGTTTTCAAGAGCAAGAAGCGGCAGTGTGTGTCGAGGGAGAAGAAAATAAAAGATAGTTTTATCTAGATTTGAACCCCAGATAATACCCCATTTACGTATGAGTGTGATTTTCCGCTTTTAACCCCTCTTCTTTCCCTAATTCTTTTTTGTGATTAATATGGGATACGATTATTGTTAATATCAAATAATGATATTATTAATATCATTATCATATCTTAATCGTTGATTTTCGTCTATCAATGGTTATTATTTTCACAAGTCAAGCTCATTAATTAATTATTAATTCGCAATAAATTATAACCGTTTATTGACAAAAATCAACAGTTAAGATATAATAGTAACATTATTTGGTAGTAATAATATCTTATCCTGATTAATATTTCTCATGTTGTAGAAGATAATTTTATCTCCTACACACACATAAAAATGTATGAGTTTCATATTTATTGATTTTTTCTTTCTTCTCTTTACATGATCTCAAATGGCCCCCACACATTTGTGTATGGGTAGAAGATAAAAGTATCTACTATAATATGAGAAATATTAATTTTTTTTCTCATTTAAAACCCTTTATAGTATTTACCACAAATCAAGCCCCATTTTAGAAAAAGAAAAACTGCACACATATTATTTAAGGGCTTCCAATTCATCATGCAAAGGGACTAAATTTTTTTCCTACAAAGAAAAGACAAGTTAAATAATAATAAAAAAGTTGAAGAGGCACAGTATTCAATGACTTTATCTTGTCTTGTAGTAGTTGCATGACACTAATTTTGTACCTACAACATGATTCATATTTATCCCATTATTTAAGGTTCTATTAGCGAAAAAATAAATATCATTACTCCAAAGTTGTGTCTACAGCAATGTGATCAATACCGATCCGATCATTGATTCGGCCAGAGTATTGAGTCACTAAGTCAATGATTCAATCGGTGAGTCAGGTTAATAATATACAAATCTATATTTTATACTTAAAAATTCACAAACATACTCAAATATATGCAAAAAAATGATATCACTTTTGAACATTCTAATATGAAAAACAATAAATTACACATCATTGTCCAACAAACAAACAAATATATTATCGGTTTCTGAATAAATCACAACCATTGTCCCATGTACTTTGTCCCCCAAAAAATCACAGTTTTTGTAATTCAGAGAGTGATGTGAAACATGCCAAAAAAATTCAGCAAATTAATATCAATGAACTATATTATCGGTTCACATTAAACATGTTAGGTATCAACATACCAAGCAATAACCCCAAAAAAAACCTCACGAGCAACATTGCAGAACTGATACAGAGATTGAGTATATCCAAAATTAATAACTCTGTTTACAAATGCTAGTAACTGGCGGTCCTTTGGTTTTGGGATTCTTTCCTTTCTGGAGTCCATGATTTCACGCCAGAGCTCACATGGAACGTTCTCATCCCTTCCTGCTTCTGATAGGGTTGAACTTGAAGATTGCCTCCAAACCCTCTTCGTGAGCCATGTCAAGGGGTTGATGGAAGGGAAGGAGGTAAAGTGTTGGGTAGCAGAAAGCGAGAGATTATAGAAGGAAATTGCACAAGTTGAGAACTTAATGGGTAAACCCTTGTCAATTGGCGTGCACTACTAGCAGATGGAGAAGAAATGGCTTGTTGATGAGAAGAAACTGATTGAAAGGAGAATAAAAGAGCAAAACGACATAGTTTTCTTTCTTCTTTTTAAAATTCATGATCCGCCGGTTTATTTGTGAACCCGTCGGGTCACTGATTTTGATAAAAACCGATCACGTCGAACCGGCTTTTACCAAGTGCAATGGATAACCTATCCATTGCTTGACTCGAACCGACTATATTACTGGTTCACCAGGTTCCGGATCAACCCAGCCGATTCGATCCGGTTCACTAGTCTACAGACTAAGATCCCTCCTTGAGTTTGAGTTGGTAATTCCATATAATGTTGTCTCGGATTATTTGAATTTATTTTTACCATTCATTCTCATTTAAATTGTGATTATGTGATTTAAAAAATAAATAACTAAATGACATTGCATTCATTTTTTTCCTTGGATGCAATTTTTTTTATTTTAAGTTTCTTATGTTCGATAAAATTATCTACTATACACTTATAAAAGTGTGTGGAGCCCATATGAGGTCATGACCCAATTTCGGGTCTGTGGCTGACGTTCACCTAATTAGCCTGACAAGCCTAATTTTTACCAAGATATAATTATATTTATAAGATATACAATTTATCTGCTTATAGAAATAATGGTAGATTTTAAAGCTATAAATCATCTACCTAAATAAAAATATAAACATTGCTCACACAGAATGATGTATCGGGCTCACCACTAATAATCAAATAGATTTTTACGATCAAACTAGAGGAGTTGAATCAGAAGTTAACTCTGTAAATATACCTACAAAAACATAATTAAGATTGGGATAAGTTGCAATGCAATTCAGCGAGTAAATAATATGATGTATAATAAGTGGGACATAGCAACATATAAAATTAATAATTTAGCTAAAAATAATAAATATAAGTAATCCTCAAATGCCAAATCTATTTATCTATGTAACCAAAATTAATATATCATCAAAAGATTATACTGATGAAATCTAATGTCAAGGTTGAAAGCAAACTTTTCAATCTAAATCATCAATTCACAAAATCCACGAATCTCTATTTTAGTAAATATTAAATATACGTTGAAGTGGGGGTAGGCTCAGATAGAACCGCAATATACCAATCTTAGGCTACTCACCTAACCAAGCTTCTCGCCTGCGTTAAAACAATTACAGGCTCGCTGTCTATAAACAAGTCATGGTGCACCAAGGCTAATAATATCTACATTTTTTTGCATACAATGCTTTGCAGGAGTCTTTCCCCTAAAACAAATTTGGAAAACACAAGGGATGTGTTATTCTACCTACCTCTTTTTCTGCCTACCTTTGCCTACCACTTTCTAATACCATTAGATCAGAAACTCAACTACCTTTATCATGTCTCTCTTATTCTACATAATTCTTAATTCAAAACCAATCATATGTGCATCATAATTTCATAAATCAATTCATTAATATTGCAATACTTCTCAAACATTCAACCATAATAACTCTCAAATCCACAATGTTCATTAATTAGCCTATATAGTCATAACACTTTCCTCTTTTAAAGTTTTTGAGCTTATATAGTTAACAACTTTGGTAGCTGTTGACACAGTTATGAATAAAAGAAACTCAGAAGCATAAAATATTGAAGGCTAGTTGAACATTGTATTAAATCGGGACTTTAGAATTAATCGAAATGATTATTAATTAGCCTGCATCATAAACAAAGCCATTAACTGATTAAATCTAGACCTTACAGTTTCATTGATATGGCAAATTCTCAATATTTCTGCTTCCACTTCATGATTAAAATGGCATGAAATTACGAAGTATGAATATACAAAAAATACAATATCAACATTTCTAAATATGGAATATGTAGATATGGAATATGTACATATTCCATATGTACAAAAATAAGAAGGAAAGTATATGTGAAAGCAACTTGTACGGAACTACTAAGATTCAAATTGAGAATTCACAGCCAATCGGTAGTATTCAATTCACAACCAATCGGTAATTTTGAATTCCATAAGAATGGAACTAGGAGGTGAATAAAATTAAAAAAAAATAAAATTAAAAAATGAAGGAGAAACTTAACCAACAAATAACACAGCATCACTTCCATTAAATAACTGACATAAAATGTCAAAATGGTTTAGGAATGGAGCATATAAATGCATGCAGGGATGGCTACATAGACTATTAGATTTAAAAAAGAATATCAATTAAGCTGTACATGGGATCAAGTTAAATTAAAAAGAATATCAAAATGGTTCCTGCAAAAATTCTCATTTCTAAATAAGCATTTCAAAATATCAACAAAAAAAAAAAAAAAAAAAACCAGATAAATACATATGGAATATGTACCCGATTTATTAAGCACAACTGGGAAGTGTGATATTTTTTAGAATGGGAGAGGATTGCATGGCTCACACCTTGAAAAAAAAAAACTAGTTTTAATGGTAATACTTTTTAAATTTCCAAGTTTCCTCTTATTCAATTGTATCTATATTTCTTAATACTTTTATAAATATTGTGATATGAGAAAATTTGAATCATAAGCAATCGAAATGCAGAAAAATTATGCAACGATAAATGCACGTACAGAGACATTCAGAAAGTGGCCTTACTTCAGAGTAACAAGGCTGTATAAAATAATTTATTCAAGCACAGAAATATCAAGTAAAGAACTCTAACCACGTATGCAAAGGAAATTGACTCATACTGAATCCCAAAGCATAGAATAACTAAACAACGTCTTCATGCCTTGAACTTTGTCGACACAAAATATTTGGGTTACACAACAGATCAGTAGCAGAGACTAACAATATATCTCAATTTTAAAATTATAACCAATACTAATTTTTAAGTCTCCACCACTAAATAAAATCCAGCAATTCCGTTACTATGGTTTTCATAGTTTAAATTTAAAAAAGAATTGAATCTGTACAATTACACTCACTTATTGAATCATGTAGGCTAGAGTTTAATGAATGTAGGTTTTGGTTCCTCTCACTCAAAGTTGAAAATTTCATTTCAGAGCTGAAACTTAATATACATTTTTTCGAATAAACCACAGCGGGACACAGACAGATCACATTAGAGGCACAGAAGTTGCACATCCATAAAAGAAAGAAAGAAAATAAAAATAAAAAAAAAATTAAACTACTTCAGGATGGAAATCAATCCAGATGGAACAACAATCCAACTTTAAACCCATAACTTCAAATTTCCAAAACAAATTTTATACATACATACATATAAACCTTAGATCTACCATTAAATCTCACACTTCAGATTGAACCCATTTCCTTGACAATCCCGTTGGCATAATCAAAATGATCAAATCCATTGCACATGACCCATTAGAAATTAAACTAAAATTCTAAAAAGGGGTTCCAAAAAACTATGCGAAAGTTTAAATTCCCACGATGACACCCAAACAAAAAAAAAAATTGAATAAATTGAGAATTGAGATTGAATCAGAGATGGGAACAAAAGAAGAATAAAAATGAAAACTTACAGAGATAGTGAGTTTAGGGCATAAATCAGAGCTGATGGGGTTACATTGGTTGGAGTGTGGAATTGAAAATCATGGGTTGTGATGTGTTGTGCCACTTCCTTCCAAGAAGCTCTTCTCTCTTTCTTTCTTTCTTTTTTTCTTTCTGTTATTTGGATTTGAATTTGTTTTGTGTACCCTTTTAGAAACCACAAATTACTACACCAATCTCAACTTTCTATTTTGACATTTTGCCTATGTATCAATGCAAGCTTCATACATCATAATCATAGTAATACATCATACATCAAAGATAACAACTACAGTAATGATAACACCTTTGAAGTTCTCAGCACTAATTCAAAAGTGGTTCTGCAAGTCCCAAGAGCTTGTTCTAGTGTAATTTGCTTGCAATTAGCAAGCAAGTTGTTCTATTCTATTTGACAAATACCAAGTCTCCTAAAAGAGCAAGTTATCAAATTATAAAACATGATTGGTTTTATATCTCTAACACTATTGATGAAAGGGATATGATTCTGTTCTAACAAAAACTTCATGATTGGAAACTATTGTTGTCATCTTTCCAAAAAAATCCTAAATTTTAACATCTAATCACCAAAGTGAAAAACACTATTTCCATATCAATGTCAAAATTATGTTAAGTATCATGAATAAGAGAAGAATAAAAGGGAAAAGGAAATTGTTAAGTATCACGAAACCTTAGTAGATTGAATCCTTTTAAGAAGATTGGTGTCTTCAGAGTCCACCCTTCAACAGCACTCCTTCAGTGCGCCCACAAGTGTAGATTATGAAGAATAAAGTGGAGCACGGTCCAGAGAAAGATAACAGAACTTGAAAAAAAAAAAAAAAGGGAAATGGAAATTGTTAAAGAGGCAAAAGAATCACAACCCAATTTAGTCATTAAGAACAAATAATACCATCGAACAGGATTGTACTAAACACAAAAGAGAATAAAAATCATTCAGTTCAGGACATACATTGAACATGTGATATGCAATCCAATTTAAAAAGTACATAAAAAATAATTATTATTTTTAATGAAAATAAATACTTTAATTTAGGGATTTGATGAAAAGCAATACTCATCAGATCTGTTAGTACAATTCATTGGATTGTTTAATAATTGTCGCAGGATTAGTAATGCATATACTCATCAGAAAACCGGTGGTTTCTCTGTCTCAAAAAATAGAGACAATCGCTTACGTATTCACACAGCACTTCCTTCTTCTTCTTTTTTCTTTATCAGATGTTGTTACTTTCTCTAGTTCTAAAATTAAAGAGAAATTCAAAATCGAAAAATATGGAAACAAAAATAAAACCCAATGGTCAGATTTTGGTTCAAGCTGGAGGAGGGTAGTTAAGGTCCAGATCCAAGCCTCTACCACCCTTATTATTGCCTTCATGGTGGTTCAGATCGATCACCGAGGATGAGTCCGAGTCGCTTTGGGTTAAATTAACAAATAAAATTAACAAATAAAACCAAATAAAATGCAAGACTAGATACCTATTGCAATAGAAAATACCTATCACTGCACAACGAAGGGCTGAATCTGAGTTGAAACTCCAGAGAACAACATTAAAGCAAAGAGGGGGACAAGCTCGGTGGTGATGTGTTCACTGGTGGTACTGTGTGAAAATTAACAAATGAATAAGACATTTCTACAAGCATTTTGTCTACCAAAAACAACGAAAAAGAATTAGATAAAGAACACCGCCTAACTCGTTTTATGCCACCTCGTCCCTTAAAAATATTTAAGATCGCGTTTAGATGATTTTTTTTTCTTCAAAAGTTATTTTTTTTTAAGAAAAAAAATATTTTTTTTTATTTCGTTTGGATGTCTGCTTTGAAAAAAAAAAAAAGTCACAAAAAAAGTCAAAAGTTTACTTTTCTCAGTTCCCTGACAAAAAACTCGGTGCCCAAATTAGTCCCTCACAAAAATAAACTCGTTAGATGGTCCCCAACAAAGTGAAACAGGACCCACGTTAGTCCTTCTATCAATCCAAAACTCACGGCGTCAATGACGGTGATGATGTGTAACGTTAATGAGAAAGGTCATTGCCACGTTGGAGGGGAAACGACGCCGTTTGAAGAAATTTGCTTCCACGTTGTTGTTCAGTTCTCCTCCCCTCTCAATTTAAGAAACAAATTGAACGTTCAGTTCTCATTCCTTCTCAATTTCATCAAAGGAACATTGTTGTATGCTTTAGGGTTCTTCTTAAACCAGAAAGAAGGGGATTGAATCGAAGATTGAACGTTTAGGGTTTGGGGATTACTGATTTAGGGTTCATCCTTCATTTTGTGCGTTATTTGAAACTTGGTGTTTAGGAGATGAATATTTCTTCTGGGAGGGGGAGCTCAAGCCCTTGTAGTTCATTTCGGTCCAGAAGTGAAACAATGAGAGTTGTTCCATTGTTCAAATGTGGGAGGCACAATGTTGTTTACACCTTGAAGACCATTAGAAACCCAAATAGAGCATTTTTTGGGTGCTCTAATTTCAAGGTGAGGTATATTTGTTGGGTGACCAATGAGACAGTAACTACAACAAGTAGTGGCACCAAGGCCAGATTCATGAGCTTCATGTCTACACCAGGGCTTAAGCCACCAAGACCAGCCCCACAAAATTGCTTGGAATACTATGTAATCATTGACATTAGGCCATTTTTGGGATGCCACTGATATAAGAATTGATTGGAATTGTAATTAGGGTATTTTTTTTTTTTGGAAATACTTCGGTATTGGTCCTGTTGAAATATGTCATTAGGTATTTTTTGTATGCCTCTTGTTATGGCCATAGTTAGTATGAGCATTATGCTTTTTTGGAACACATATGTAGTGGCCTTCATGGAAATATGTCAGTGGGATTTTTTTGTATGACTGTGGCATGTTGGCCATGGTTAGTAATTGTAACTAGGATGTGATGAAATGAATGTGAAATGTTTGCTTTCTATCTGTCTTTGCTGTCATTAATGTATTTAATGCTGCAATTTTTAAATTTTGGTCCACACCATCTGTCTGCTGATACACTTTCTGGTTTCTGTCAATAATGGTATTTTTGTTCTGTTTGATGTGTCCTTTTATGGGTCATGTGTAGCTTCAATGCATTAGTAAACCATTAGCCCTCAACATTTTCTATCGAGGAGTTTTTTAGTCCTTATTTTCTAGCTCATAGGTCCATTATGGTCCCTAACAATTTTATCGGGGGCCCTTTTCAGTCCCTGCTAAAGTTCTGTTAACAAGAATGTACATTTTCTATTAACAGATCAGCAATGTCATTTCCCCTTATTCATGCTGATATCAGTCATGATTAACACAATTAACTTCTGCATAATTCACACCATCACAGTTTTACTTTAATGTTCATACATTGTTTCCAAATTTTTTTATCTGCATCAAGTTTATACAACACTTTGTATGCCTCTTAACATAACTTCAAATACATAAGTCAAGCTATATACATTGCACGAATAACAAATCATTATATTTCAACACTGGTCCTTCTTTACATTCCAAAACTGTTACAACATGTAATGGTACATACACCAGCAAATCTCAACAGAACCACATTTTTTATTTCACTCCACCCTACTTGCAAGATTTATACATATTACAAACACAACAATAATGGATCCAGCAAACACCCTAGCACACCTAGACACATGCTTAATTTCCTTTTCCACCCTTTCAAACTCTGTTTGCATCTTCACTGATAGTTCATCAATCTTTATATTGTGCTCAATAATCTTCTTTTTGTGGTCATTCACCTCACCTTGAAATTGGGGCACCCAAAAAAATGCTCTATTTGGGTTTCTATTGGTCTTGGAGGTGTAAACAACATTGTGCCTCCCACATTTGAACAATGGAACAACTCTCCTTCTTTCACTTCTGGACCGAAATGAACTTCAAGAGCTTGAGCTCCCCTTCCCAGAAGAAATATTCATCTCCTAAACACCAAGTTTCAAATAACGCACAAAATGAAGGATAAACCCTAAATCAGCAAACCCTAAATCAGTAATCCCAAACCCTAAACGTTCAATCTTCGATTCAATCCCCTTCTTTCTGGTTTAAGAACCCTAAATCATACGACGATGTTCCTTTGATGAAATTGAGAAGGAATGAGAACTGAACGTTCAATTTGTTTCTTCAATTGAGAGGGAAGGAGAACTGAACAGCAACGTGGAAGCAAATTTCTTCAGACGGCGTCGTTTCCCCTCCAACGTGGCACTGACCTTTCTCATTAACGTTACACATCATCACCGTCATTGACGTCGTGAATTTTGGATTGACAGAAGGACTAACGTGGGTCCTGTTTCACTTTGTTGGGGACTATCTAACGAGTTTATTTTTGTGAGGGACTAATTTGGGCATCGAGTTTTTTGTCAGGGACCAATTTGGGTCTTTACTCTAAAATTTTTAACTTCTCAGAAAAAGAAGAAGTCAAAAGCCAAATATTTTTTTTCAAAAACTAAATATTTTTATAAAAATATAAAGGGTTCGCTTTTTATGCAGTTACTACAGATAAGTTATCTGCAGTAAGTCCAATATGACGTCGTATTAGGACGGAAATCATTGTATTTTGTAATTTTAATTTATTTCAGGGTTATAATAGTCTTTATATTTATAAATTTTTAAGATTTCAATATCAAAACGACGTCGTTTTGAGAATAAATGCAGATAACTTATCTGCATTAACTGCAGAAATATTTTTCTCAAATATAAATAGCTTTAACTTTTATAAAAAGTACTTTTAAAATAAAGAAGTAGTTAAAGTTACTTTTAAAAAAAGCTGAACCAAACGAACTCTGAGTATTAAACACTCCATCTTTATATTTATAAAATAATTAAATCTGAAATAATAATAATAGAATTATAGTCCGCATTATTTGCCAACAAAAAAGAACTCCAAGACTATCTATTGATGAAGCGATTTGCGGGGTTGAATCTTGTACACCAAACTATTCCCGCGAGCAACATTTGTAACCTTCTGTTATTCAAAGATATTATTATTATTATTATTATTAAATTTTAATATCCATTAATTTACCTAAAATTCTTCTCCAATCAAAGAGAAAGCAAACACCTAGTTGAGCCAATATTCCCACAGTGAGCTTATTACAAAAAAAAAAAAAAAAATATTCCCACAGTGAGCTCGTTGTAACTCCAAATAAAGGATCTACTTCATTGAGACTAAGCGTTTCTTTGAAGTCTTTTTTTTTTTTTTGATAAAAATGAAGGGCTTAGCCCAGGAAAACTATATAGTAAGTTGATTCATGTTCAAATAAACATGATCCATCAAAAGGTAATTACAGAGTTCTTGCCAAAAAGGAAAAGTGCTAGTGGGAGGAGCAGGAAAAAACAACCGCTCACCTACCCTACATGTAAAACCTATTTTAGCTAAATTGTCAGCACACTTATTAAGCTCTCTCGGAATGAATTCCAGTTGAACTTGATTGAAGGACTGAATTTCTCCTATCAGCCTCAACACAGTAGGAGAGTAAATATCTGAATCAGTCGTGGGATCAACACAAAGGATAGCATCCTTACAGTCACTGCACATCCACACATTCGTAAGATTAAGTTCTGCAGCAATTTTAAGTCCTTGGGTGATTGCCTGTAACTCTGCTTCCAAAGGGGTACAAGGTCCAATATTAAGAGAAAAGCCACCCACCCATTCTCCATTGGGCGTGCAAATAACTCCTCCACAGGTACCAATCTTTGAGGAAAGATTGACAGCTCCATCTACAAATATTTTAATTCCTTCCTTCCTAAGATGCTGGCTATAGCTCCCCAATACTAGGTCTGGCGCGGGCTTACCAGAGAAGGGATCAACATCACAATTCTGCTTCAAGTCTTTCAAGTAGTGCATAATCCTGTGCATTGGATCTTTCGGCCAAGTGAAGGAAGGATCATGTACACATGAGTTCCTCCATTGCTAGAGCAACCAAGTGGTTACATAAAAGACTTCTTGCCAGGATTTCCAAGACTTTGAAGAGAATGGAGATGATATATTGAGTCTAAACCAATCAGAACCATCAGTAGACAGAAAAGAGTTAGGAGTATTACCTTCAAACCACAAATCCCAAACACTCCTAGCATTTTTACAATCCCGAAGCACATGGAGCACTGTCTCCTGACCAGAAAAGCAAATCGGACAACAAGACTCACCTCCACTCCAATGATAGGTGTAACTTCTAACCGGTATTTTATGCAGACAAGCTAGCCATACAAAAATGGCTATTCTATAGGGACCTCTCCATTTCCAAAGCTTAGACCAGAATCTGTCTACACCCAAAGTGGTTGTTGTAAGCTGACAGTAAGCATTCTAAACCAGTGACTTGCTAGGACAGTTCCTTCTCCAAATGAGCCAATCATCTACTGTATCTGGACCAGGTGGTTGTAAAGCTTTTAATCTGCTAAGTGTAGCCCCATCCAGGAATTGCTCCAGCTGACCCCAACTCCAGTTCCCTGTAACAGGGTCTACAAGACTGCTGACTTTCATCTCCAGGTCTGAAATTGGAGGTTTAATTCTGGCTAACTCAAACAAGCTATTCTGCCATTCTCCCCACTTGTCTGTCTAAAAGAAGATAGACTCACCATTACCTAAGATCCAAGATAGATTCTGAGATAACTTTTCTCTGGCCAAGCAGATGTTTTTCCACAAAGGGGAGTCACTACTTCTAGCTAGAAAGTTTCTGTTGGGATCTTG